TGGCACTGAGACCTACGCAGACGGAGGTGAGCCCAGCCTGGGGCCTGCGGGGCTATGGGGGGCGGGCCCTGGGGGAAGGTGGGGAGGGCAGGGCAGCCGGCACAGAAGCAGAGAGGCTATGATGCGATTTGCTGTGTGGCTTTGGGCAAGCTGTTCTACCTCTCCGAACGCCATCTTCTTGTCAGTAAAAATAGGGCCAGCAATGGGCGGGAGCGCTTAGTACAAGGTTTGCTGTATACTACACACTGTACACACTCTGAAATGTCACTACTGCTGTTTGCCTGCTCCATACAGAAACAGCTGTGGAAGAGACTCCGTAGCCTGTATTCTAGCAGAATTTGGGTCTGTTTTCAACTTTGCCATAAAAATTGTTTTCAAGCGACAGATCGTGAGGCATGTTCCTTCATTCGCCCGCCCACCCATCCATCCACCTACTCACACACGCACTCTTTCATTCAGTGCACATTTCCGTGGTACTTCCCATTTGCCAGGCGCTGTACCAGGAGTCACACACAGTTCCAGCTTCAAGGATGAGCGTGCAGGCCGTACACACAGATATGCACAGAGAGCTGTGGTGAGAACGAGCAGCCAGGTTCGGGGAGGGCAAGGAATGCTCTGAAGGAAGCGAGACCTTGATGTGAAGATGTGATTGTGACAGTGGGATTTAGGGGCTGTCTCTGTCCTGGCAGAGAGAGGAGCTTCTGCAGAGTTTGTGCACTCAGGAGCATGAGTGTAATCAGGGGTTAAGAAAGCAGAGTTTTATATAGCAAAACAGTCCTGGAAAGTGGCAGGAACGTCACTACCTCACCCACTTGCGTGACATGCGACATAACACTTGCACAAGCCTCAGTTTCCTCGTCTGTAAAGATGGGGTACTCTGGAGCAGGAATGCAGCTCACAGAGTGGTCAGTGGAAAGGCAGCGATAGCATCATCTGCCCTCTAGATAGAAACACAAGTTCAGAGGCCCCATCCAGACTTTTCCAGATCAGTCTTTGAGTGAGGGCCTGGAAGACTAATTTCACAAGCTCATCAGGTAGATCTTAACATGTTAAAGTTTTTAAAGTGTTGCTTTTGGGATATAGTGGCTCATGCCTATTGATACTTGGGAGGCTGAGGCAAGAGAGTGACGTAGGCCTAGGGTTTGAATCCAGTCTAAGAAACATATAGAGACCCAGTCTCAAAAAAATAAAAAAATAAAAATTAAAAAAAATAAAAGAAAAACTGAGTGGGGCTGAGAGTGTGGTTTAGAAGTAGAGCACTTGCCTAGTGTGAGTGGGGTTCTGGAGTCCATCTCCAGCACCACAAAAAAGAAAAATATTTACTTATTTATTTGGGTTTTTTGAGATGGGGATCAATATGTAGCCCAGGCCGACCTCTAACTCTGTGATCCTCCTGCCTCAGCTTCCCTAGCACTGGGATTACAAGTGTGTGCAACCATACCCAGCAAAAAGTATTGATTTAAATCAGGGGCTAGAAAACTATAGATCATGGGCCAAACTGGCCTGCTGCCTGTTCTTGGAGCTGAAAGTGGTTTAAATTTTTAATTATTTGGGAAAAAGAAAAGCAATTTTTGATGACATGTGAAATTTATGTGATAGTCTCTATGTGATGTCCTCTATTTGGCCTGTGATCCTACAAAGCCTGAAGCAATACCTTATGACTCTTCACAGAAACAGTCGGTTAGTTCTTGGGAGGCTGAGGCAGGAGGATCACGAGTTCTAAGCCAGCCTTGGCTACATAGGGAGTTTGAGGCCAGCCTGAGCTACACAGTAGAAGCTTATCTCAAAAAATTTAAAACAGAAATGTTGCTCCTGCTTTTACTGGTCGTTAGATTCTGTCTGGCATAGAATAATTCTATGGCATCTTCCTAGTGTTGCATGACTCAAAACTGGCTAATTAAAAAGTAATTATATTGGGCAACAGAAGGAATTTGTAAAACATTATTTTTGTCACTAGTCCCCCTCTTCATGATAGAATATAGGAAGTGGGCATTCTGGGAATGGGGCAGGGACAGGAAGAAGCATCAGTACACTCAGGCTGCAAGGCTCAAGCCAAGGCCCTTGGGCACCTGGAAAGAAGCCAGAGGTGAGAGTAGGTTGGGGGCTGGGGGAGGACCTGCCCTCCATGTATCTGGATGTTTATGAGGTTGTGTCCTTGAGTTTCTGTGGGCTCCTGTGGCCGCTATTGAGCACTGCTTGGAATTGGACAGTGCTAAGGATAAATTCTGGCTCTACCACTTGCTAGTTTTGGTGACCTTGAGCCATTTGCTGACCCTCTCCAATATGGTACAATTCGGCCCAGCGGATGGTTATGCTCTCTGTAGAGAGCCTCAGTTTCTCTAGCTGAAGCATGGGGATGATCCTCCAGAGCGTGTGAGTTACGTATGTGAAGTGGCAGGTGGTAGGCATGCCCAGTGATCCTCCCTTCCTTTCTTCTTTCCAAACCAAGGATAAACCAACACACACTCATGTGAGACAAGGACACTGGCTTGAGTCACAGGGACACACACTGCTGGGCAGACATGAGCAGGGGAACCAATGAGCCGATCTCTCAAAAATGTCTAAAAGGAGGAAAACCCATCCACTCACTCACTCACCCAGCCAGTGTTTCTGAGACCTCCTCTGTTCCAGGCACTGTCCCATAGCAAGGTCTGGGGACCAGACTAGTGAGTATAACTTCCTGTCTAGTGGCAAAGAGAGAAATAAACCAGAAAACACTCATGCACAGTATGATAAAAAATATAGCAAATGTGAAAAATGTTTTAAAATTTATTACCGTAAAAGACACATTGCCACTGGTTCCCCCCCACAAATATCTCTCATACACTTGCCAGACGCTTATCCCATTGTTCTTGTCTCGTTCTGAACCAGTTTGAGAAGTCCTTTCACATGCGTGTTTTTAGTTGCACTGTTGTGGCTGCTTTGTTGTCCTGAATAATTGATGTTTACCTTTCATGGTCATTTTGACTTTAGGGAAGAGCCAGAAATTGTATGGTGCCAGATCTGGTGGTTAGGTGGATGAGGACGCACGGTAATGTTTTCATGAGCCTAGCAAATTTTTTATCCAGCGGTGTAAAGACACCCATGAGAGAAGACTTCTAGAACTGCTTCAGAAAATGAGAAGTAGCCAAGTGTAGTGGCACACATCTGTAATCCCAGCATTTGGGAGTCTGAGGCAGAAAGATCCAAGAGCCCAAGTTCCAGCCTGAACTACATAGCGAGACCCTGTCTCAAAAAACATCAAAGGTGACAAGAATGGGGACTGGGGATTTGGCTCAGTGGTTACGCAAGCGCAAGGGCCAGAGTTTAATCCCCGGTAGAAAAAAATTTAAAAAAAAAAAGTGACAAGAATGATGGAATAAGTGTGTTCAGGGTGAGAAGCAATATTGTGAGATGGGTTAATGGCAATGTGTCTTTTACTGTGATACATTTTAAAAATTGAAACATTCACCATATATTTCAGGCACTCTTTGTATATATAATTTCCAGACGTTACTAGCATTACAACTAAAAAGCAGAGAGGCAAGAGGGTAGTGTCTCTAGGTAAGGTGGTCTCAGAGAAAGATGGGGAAGACTAGAGAGGAAGTAAAGCCTTTCCGGCAGAACAGAGATCTAGGGTCGGGCTTGGGGTATTTCAGGAGCAGCGAGACCACAGGCATAGCAGGAACCTGAGTGTATAAGGGGTACAGATAGGAGCGCAAGTTGGAATTGTAGGTAACAGCCCAATCACCCAAGCTTTGCAGGCTGGGTTTTCCCCGCTCCAGTACTAGGGATGAACCCAGGCCTCTGCACATGCTAGGCCAGTGCTCTGCCACCGAGCTACATCCCCAGGTCCTTTTACATTTCATTTTGAGACAGGATCTTGGTAAATTGCCCAAGCTTAACTCAGGCCTGCAGTCCTTCTGCCTCAGCCTCCTGAGTAGCTGCAATTAGAGGCATGCAGAACTGTGCCTTAGCTAGACAGGCCTTGGGTTTTATCCCAGGTGTACCAGGAGCTCTTGGGGCCAGGTAATTAGAAGACCTGCTACTCTGGTTTGTCAGAAGCCCAGACTTCTCCCAAGTGAGATGGCCCTATATGTAGGGGCCCTGGAAACCTCATGGATTCTCTCTCCCAAGCCACACACGAGGTGTAACTCTCCAAAATTAGATTGTGGCCACTACTTTGGAAAATCTCTTTAATCAACCTGTCATCAGTCCCCCAGGGTTTGTTAAGGACCTGCCCTTTGCCCTATCCTGAGTAGACTGAGGGGAATGTGAACAAATAAGATCCTGTGATAAAGAACAGTTAGGAGTCAGTCACTGGGCTCTGTGATCTCTTTGATTCTTAATTTCTTCATCCAATCTCTCATAAGATCCCTCACAGGATAAATGAACACAAAATAAACGGCAATTGCTATTATTATGATTACCTTTGCAGATACATATTGCATGATCATTATCAAGCTAGCACTGTGCTACCCTGGGAAGTGTAGAAATGGCATGTTGCTGACTTCATTGGGAACTTCACAGCAAACTTCACGCAGGACAGCACAGGTGGCTAGGCAAGGGCCTACAAGGGACCAGGGAAGCAAGGGGGCACTGTCGGACTCAGGATCTCAGGATGGCTTCCTGAAGTAAGTGGCCAGACTTGGGGGAGTGAGCCTACCTACTCCAGGTCGAAAGAACAAAGTTCACATAGGCCAGGAGGGCCAAAGCGTGCTGTTCACCCAGGAGACAGAGCTGAAGCTTGTATTTTATCCCAAAGGTGGAGAGGTAGTCTCTGCCACCCACCTGGCCTTGCAGCCAGGTGTTATAGGTAACCGCCTGCTCCAAGCCAAGGAAAACAGCCAGATTCCCAACTGCAGGTGCCCAGCCAGTAGTAGGCAGTGAAATCAACTTAGTGGGTGAAGATCTACCTTTTTCAAAATGAAAGGCTAGCAACAGAATAGCATAGA